GAATGCGCTCTTTGTGCCTGACTGCACACCCCTGTGAAGGATACCAAAGTGCTGCTTACATAAAGAGTGATGTGGAGCAGTCTTTTACTGGAGTAAAGTTCATCAAAAAGTCCACAGAAAGTGCTTGTGGGGAAGATGCTCTGATCCTGTAACATTAGAGTGGAAGTTAGGAACTGCTGACAGTGTTTGCAGAGCATCAGTCCTTCCTTCAGGTGCTTCTGCTGTGACTGAGGGCGGCAGGAAAGAACAGTAATGAGTGGTCTGCCATCAGCTGGGAACAGACACCACAGAAAAATGGGATCATCAAAAAATGGACAACCTAGGTGATAAAGAAGCCTGTTTGTTTAGGTTTATATCTACCTCTTAAGCAGTGCAGCAATAGTCAGTGTTGATAAAATCATCAGTATTATGGCAAAATCTATATGAAGTGTCAGATAGACAGTGATACACATTAGAATATTGTTTTTAGAAGCTAAAAGCCAAACTTAAAAGACAAATTATAAAGAGGAATAAATTAGCTTTTCTTGCCTTCAGAAAGATCTGCCTTAGACCTAGATTTACACCTGCTCAGCTACTGGGAAAGAGTCTGTACTGGTAACATTTTTATGGTACTGAAACAGAAGTAGTCAGGTGGAACCAACTGAAATTTGATTTCTTTCATCTCCTTTTTTTTTTTTTTTTTAGTAGGTATGGAGACTATAGTCTGATATCTAGATTTGTTCTTCATCTACAAGCTGAAGCTACTGTCTAGTTTTGTACTTCTACCCTCTAGTAAATTCTATAAAGCTCAAACAACTCAGCTTAATATTCTTTTTCTGTGGGGTGACCTAAATAGAATACCTCACCTTCTGGTGAGTTTAGAGTACGTTTACTGACAGTCATTTAGGTTCAGTTTCATGTGAGAAACTGTTAAACAGACTAATTGCTACTTCTGTAAGTGCTAACACTATGCCTTTGCTGCAGAATTAGATATGTGCATGGAGATTATTTCCATCACATTATCAAATTTAAATCACTGAGGTGACATCCATCATGGGTCAGAAACTCAAATGAAAGAGCATCTTCTCATCTTAATGTAAATATTTTGTTGTCAGTAAGATTCAAGTAAGGGGCAAACTTGACAGTTTTGAGGAGTTAACTTGAGCTGTATTTGAGTTAACCCTAGTAAATCCAGGACTAGGATTATGTGAACCTGTTTCATTTTTGATCTAACTGATGGCACCACAGCCTCAAATGTGCAAATCAAAGGCAATGCGATACATCATTACTATCTCATATACAACTTCTGTAATAAGAGTAGCAAATCTGTTTCTTAGTGGATGGAAAACTGACTATGAGCCAGCAATGTGCACTTGTGGCCCAGGAAGCCAACCTTATCCTGGGCTGCTTCAAGAGAAGGGTGGACAGCAGGTTGGGGGAGGTGATTCTCTCCCTCTACTCTGCTCTCATGAAACCCCACCTGGAGTACTGTGTCCAGCTATGGGGCTCCTGCTATAAGAAGGACATGGATCTGTTGGAGCGAGTCCAGAGGAGGCCATGAAGATGATCAGGGTCTGGAGCACCTCCCCTGTGAGGACAGGCTGAGAGAGGTGGAATTGTTCAGCCTGGAGAAGAGAAGGCTCTGGGGAGACTTTATAGCAACCTTCCAGTATTTAAAGGGGACTACAGGAAAGATGAGAGGGACTCTTTAACAGGGATTGTAGGGATAGGATGAGGGGTAACAGTTTTCAACTGCAAGAGGGTAGTTTTAGATCAAATATAAGGAAGAAATTCTTTACTGTGAGTGTGGTGAGACACTGGCACAGGTTGCCCAGAGGGGCTGTGGCTGCCCCCTCCCTGGCAGTGTTCAAGGTCAGGCTGGATGGAGCTTGGAGCAACCTGGGCTAGTGGAAGGTGTCCCTGTCCATGGCAGGGGGCTGGAATGAGGTGATCTTTAAGGTCCCTTCCAACCCAAACCATTCTATGGATTTTATGATAACTTCTGGTCGTGTGGATTGTAGATTAAAGAAAGACTGTATTGTTTCCCTATCTTTATTTTGTCCTGTTCCTCATTTCTTTAGTATGATGAGTGTGCATTGCATACTTTTCTTGACTACTTCTTCCTTTAGTTTATTACAGGAGGAGCTCATATGAATGCTTAAAAATTTCCATTATAAAAGCTCTTCTGAACTCTTTAGAGAAATTCTGACACTATTATTATCATGTCCATGATGTGTCTTTGGATTTTGGCAAGCAGAAAGCCTTAAGGTTAGAGAAATGGCTTTTGTTTGTTCCCCCAAACCCACTCAGCTTGTTACATCTTTATTTGTCTTCGTTGTTCACATTGCTTCAGAATTTGTGGCATCAGGAAAAATAGCACAGAAGAACACAGGAATGTTCAAAGGGCTTGTCTACACTTGGAAATTGCAGTAAAGTGGTGAAGTGTGACTTTCACATTGGATACTCTGAACTAACTTTCTGTGTACACACTTGGCTTCTATACTAAGGTGAACAGAGATACAGTTGTAGGGTGCTAAGGAGGGGAGGGTATTGCTGTATGGTTATTATGTATTGGCTATTTCAGAGCTTTCCTTCTTAAAGACAAGCTCTAAGGCTGAACCATGGGAACCCCCAAGTGCCTGTGCTACCCTGTAGGAAGCATAGTCCAGTGTCTTCACTCCCCTTTGCTGGGTACATGGCACCATGTCATTTCCCTTTGGTCACCACAGAAACACAAGACAAACATCTTTTGTGGAGGATTCAGTTTCCTACTGATGGTTTGCACCCTCTGCACTCTCACATGAGCTCTGGGCTGGCACCTTTCCCTCACTCACGGTGACTGCCACTGTCCTTTGTGTGTTAGCTGCACCATGCCACAGTAGTGACAGTTTGGGGTACAAACACTGCAGAGAAAGTCTTGTCTTTCTATTTAAAAGTAAGTGTTTTGAGTTCTAGTTAAATGGCAGCCTAGAAGATTGCAAGAAGCAAAATTAATAAAATCCGTAACAGTTTTTATTAAGGTATTAAATGCTTGCTCTTGCACACTAGGAAGCCACAGATTTACAATTGCCTGTTAAACCTTAATTCCCTTTTCTTAAATATGCTTTATGGTATAGTCTTTTGTTGTATAGAGTGAGTGTTCTTCCATAGCACTAGTGCTGATTTAGTGCAAGGATGAGTGCAAACAAAAGCAGAAGTAATGTTACACAGTCAACTGTAAATTTTACACTTCCTAACTTTTGAGTGTTTTACTTTGCAATTTTGATATGTTGAATTTACAAAGAAGAACTCTAAGTACAGTGTATTCGTACCTTCAGGAGAAGAAACTGCTGACTACCAAGGGACTATTTAGTCTACTGGTGAAAAGGCAGAGTCAACATAGCAGAAAACAGAAGTCAGATTAAGATTAGAAATTAGGCAACCATTGTAATGGATTCCTGAGAGAAATAGTGGATGGTGCATGTCTAGATATCCTCAGAACAAGTCTAGATGTCTTTGTGAAAGGTGGATTGTATTCCAGTCAAAGTGGTTGAATTCAAAGCAAGGGATAACTGAGGAAATTTAATGATTTATGATTAGGGTCAGACTGCATAATCTACTGATTCTTTCTGATTTTCAGAGTTTTGTGAAACTTTATTGTTCTTTGGATGCAGTTTATACAATACTTTTAAACATGGAAATCTAACCATCCGTTTTCTAGCCTGGGAGCAAGAAGATGTTTCTTGGCATCCATTACTTGCACTTAAAGCTTTTAAAATTACTCTTTGACTCCATGTCTCACAGCGCATTGAGGGATGCACAAATAGACTGTCTATGCATATTTTGTTGCTGCTAAAGTGCATTCACTCTTCTGTAGTTCTGTCCTGACTCACAGCACTCAGCATTGGAAACAAACAGGTCCTGGAGATCATAATTTGTTGGATTAAAATAGATGAAGCCAAAGCTATCTGACCACAGTACATTCAAGCATTACTCCCTTATGGATGTTTTGGTTCAAGAAATTTGTTAAATTAATGTATCAAAAAATTAAATAATTTAACACTTAATTTTGAACTTTGAATTTCAGAATAAAAAGTCTGTTCTGCACATTTAAGTTAGTGAAAAGCAAGCTTTTGCCTTACTTCAATCTGTTGGACTGGTAAGAATTTCAGATCCTGGACTTTTGTTGCCCAGACAGCCAAATTTTTCTTAGTTAGTGAGCTGGATATCAAATTCAGGCTCTGCTTACCCGTGTGCTGTTCCTTAATGAAACCCAATTCTGTCTTTGACTGTGGGCCCAAACTTTCATCTTCTGTAAATCAATTGTTTGGAAGCAAACCATTTGTGCCACAACAGTGACACTGCTCAGAACAGCACAAACATTGTAATGCACTATTGTTAAAAAAAAAAAAAAAAAAAAAAATTAAAAAAAAAAAAAAAAAAAAAAGACAGTGAAGAGGCAAAGACATTATTTGCTTTTAGGTGGAATAGAAGAGATAGGTCTGCAGTATCAGAGAAGGTACCTTTGATCCACATCTTGAGCAAGAGTAAATGAAAAGAAAAGAAGAATAAACCTGATATCCGAGGCAGTTAAATATAAGGACCCAAGCTAATGTAATAAAATTACAATTGTTGTTATGCTAGTTTATATAGTAGCTCATTGTGGTAATGAATTATGAATAGCCACAGTTGAATACATGTGATTTCAAATTTCCTTACCTTGTGTTATATAATGAAACATCCTTTTCACACATTGATGGATTTATTTTTTCCTTTGCTAATCCTCAGTGAATTTCCAATTCAAGATGTCTATAATGAAACTTTGGATATGGTGACTGGGTGATATATATTTTGATTTTTTCCTTCAGTTCCATTTAGAGTCTTCATGATAGAGTTTTTCAGTGAAGTGTTTAATTTTCTTCAAGCTTGTTTGTTAAGTTTTCCCTGCATTATAATGCACAAAAGTAACACAGATTGATAATTTAAAGAACTTTTAATGAATTGCACATTCACAATATTTTTTTTCCTTTCTCTTTCCACAGGACGTTACCCAAAATTAGTGTTTCACTTCAAACTCAAGAGAAACATCTTGTATTTCATATTAGAGACATATGTACCATCAATCCTACTGGTTGTGCTGTCATGGGTATCGTTTTGGATAAGCCAGTCATCAGTTCCAGCCAGAATCTGCATAGGTGAGAAGTCAATAAACCAAACCAAACCAAACCAAGAGTTGGATCAGTGAGGTGCTTTCTTTATTGCATGTACATGCCATGTTTCCAAAAGCTGTAAACACTGCTGAGTTTTATGGATTTACTTTTCTTGTTTGCCATCCACAGTACATCATGCAGATTCTCATTAAAGCCTTGTTATTTTTTAACTAAGAAAACATTTTTGGGAGTTACAGGAAACTTGGGAGCAGGGGAGGCTGCTGAAAAAACTCAAGTAATTTTGAAAATAATTTCAATATATTCAAACACACTGCAGCACAGACAGAATTGTGAGGCTTTTGTGAGGTCTAATGATACATACTAATTAACACAGTAATAATAAGAGAATTCTAAGAGCTCAAATATAATTAATTTGAAATAAAGGGTATTCTGAAAGAGAAAGAATGCAAATCATTTCTGATCAGGCTGCAGGTGGGTTGGGAAAAACACTCCTACAGAATAAGGGAGAAAGAAAGATTTCATATCAGATGAGGCCAGTGGGCAACTGCACTGAGCAAAATGGTATCTGAATGTTTTAAAAGGAGTGTTTGCATAGTATTGCAGCAATAATGTGTTAATCATAAATACACATTCTGTGACACCAAAATCTCTCTCATTTTCATTTACAGGCTTCTCAGCTCTACAAACATTTTTCACGAGTGTTTTGAAGCATTTAACTTCAGAATCTCAAGTTCATTTGAAAGTCTTCTTTCCAAAACCAGACACATTATATACTGTGTCATATTAGGAGTTCACAGAGCCAGGAAGCACTGTCTTGTAGTAGGGCCCTTGCAGTAGAGGCTCTCATTGCTATCTGTGTTTTATCAGAACTTAGGTTTTTGCCTTCCACAGGTGTCACCACAGTCCTTACTATGACAACACTGATGATGGGAGCCAGGACGTCACTCCCGAATGCTAACTGCTTTGTTAAGGCAATTGATGTGTACCTTGGCATCTGCTTCAGTTTCATCTTTGGAGCACTGTTAGAGTATGCTGTGGCTCATTTCTGCACTCTTCATCGCTTCAGTTCAAAAGAACTTCCAAAGGTATTTACTTCTTTGATTGTTGTCTTACAAAACAGACTCAGTGATACCTGTTACCTTAGCACTAATGGTAAATGTATTTAAGGAAGTTCCTATTTTAGAATAAGGACAGTGAAAACAGAATAACCTTGAGAAAAAGAAAAATGATTTGTATACCTGGAACTTTCTGGAAAGATCAAACAAACTGAAGCACCCTTCCATAATGATTCTCTCTTTTGGCATGGATTTTATGGCCATTTATCAAACAATGTGCCAGCCATTTTCACAAAAATAATAGGCACTTGTCGTTTCCCTAGCAATGGCATACACTTACTTACAGTTCAAAAATTATACTGAGCTCAGTGACTTGAACATATTGCGATACAGCAAAAAATAAAAGATTTTATCACATTCCATTTATGAAATCTTCTGCATGGTATCTGAGTCAGTTTACTATCAGACAGCTTCACGTATTATGTGTATCAGACCCCTATAGACTTCCACTTGCACATTTTTTTTCAACAGCTGCAGCTGAAGCTCAGACTGGGATTCACTTTCTGTTCATCATTATTATAGCAAGACTTATTGCTGCCCTAATGAGCTTCTCACAACTCTGAAATACTGTGAAATATACTTAAAATAAAAAGGGATCAAATTAGCAGAGGCATTTTTGAGTCTGGTAGTTGTCATCTTGCTGAAATAATCAGGACAGGCGCGTGAAGATGTTTTGTCACATCTTCCATCTTCGGTATTTAGCACTGCTTTCATAAGCAGTGAAAAAGAAATCACAAGGAAGCTGGAAGCTGATTGTCTTCTAGCTTTTAATTATGGAACTGAATCTAATATGCATGACAGAAAAGAAAATTTTAAGCAGCTTATGAGATTTCTGGACAAACAGAAAAAAAGTAAAACATGGAAAGTGAGAATAACTGAAAAAAAAAACCAAACCAGGAAGAAGTTTGTTTTAGTGCTGTAGTGATAAACAACCAGAAGAAGAAAGTTTGTTAACTATATAAGCTAAACTAGGACAGAGCATCACAAATGCCTAAGCAAAGCTCCTCGAAAGGTTCAAGAAACAGGATACTGAGTTCAAGTGGAGAAGGTTAAAACCAATGAAGATTAGCCAAGATACGGGTTTTTTTTAATGCCTAGACACTTCAACAATTAATATGGGATTTTGACTGTTTGGATGAGAGATAGGTTTTGTAAATGCATAGGAATGTGTTCAAAGCTGTCATTAGATCTAGGTGTGTGGGGAAGGACTGAAAAATGAACACAAAGCTGAGCCACCCAGTGGCTTTTAAAAGACATCTAATGGGGGAATGTCTGCAAATGGGCAAACACTTTTTTTTGAATGAGGATTTGAGTGGAAAGCCTGAAAGCAATTTTTTCTTGGCAAGGTAGCATCAGTGACAATTCCCTCTGAGCAAATCCATCTTGTGAAGTAAGTGGTTGTCATTTTGCTCATAGAGCAGAAAAAAAAAAAAAAAAAAAGCAGCAAGCTTATTGGAGGTTTGGATAAGAAAGTGAAGTGTTTCAGTGCTTGGATGATTAAGCATCTTTGGATCTGTGAAGGGCACTTATGACTGTCCTTACCTTTGCCTGTGTCAGATTCCCTTTCATCTGGGGCACATGTACTAGTGCTTGCAGATGAGGCAGACATGGGAACTCGTGGACTTGAAAGACTTGCATGGAAGGAAGTGGAGGTACAGCCCTAAAATGAGGAAGGAAAAAAAAATTACGGTACAGTTTTGTGATGGACTTAATGACTGAAAAGAATTATCTTGTCACTTTAGGCATGTTTCCTTCTGCTGTGCATCAGGAACGAGCAAGGCAGTCCAACTCACTTCTTGCCCACACAAACACAAGCATATAAGGAAATGGCAGTTGTTGGTCCTAGATCAACTCAAGACTCCGTAGAACAAGGAAAATGCCAGTCATGTCCTTTTCCTACTGTAGCCAAGGACAAGCACTGCTTACTCGGCAGGGTGCCATCGAGAGCACACCTCATTTGTATTTCTCATTTCTCAGTGTAAAAAACAAAATATCACAAGGACAGAAGTACCAGCTAAAATCTTGTGTCACTGTCTAGCAGGTACTTAACAATTTCTGTGTGAGTATCAGCACCATAAATGTGTTGTCCTCGTTATCTTATTCTGTGGACATAGGTTAATTGGAAATCTCACTTCCCAGTTTGTTATTCTCATATGTGAGCTGATACAAAATTTGCACTCAGAATTATGTAAATAAATGTAGGAGGTGAGATGAAAATGTAACCCTCTCCCTTGTATAGGAATTAGTTGTACTGGTTTGGTTTCTGATTTGCTCTTTAAAGCAATTGGGCACTGGCATATCACATCCTTTTGAAGCCCTTGGGATCTCCAGTTTAGAATATAAACTGGTGAAAGAGCTCATCACATCCACATTCTTGCAGTGTCTCACATCATGTGAACCAGGACTCACAGAGACAGCTTCAAAACTAATGGCAAAAGCAGAGGAACTACCTGCTGCAAGGAAGGTCAGGCAAAATGTGCCATTCACATCAACTGTGTAACAGACTGCCTAAATGGAGAGGTTGCCTCTCCAAAATCCTGAGTATCTTCTCTTTTATACAAAGGTATGAATTATGACCTCCTATAAAACAGAGAATTCCTCCTTGGACTTCATCTGTCTATCACCTAAACCCCTCCCTTTTGGATGGAAAGAAGAAAAGTTTGAAAACTTAACAGGGTTACAAGGACAGTGTTGAGCCTACATGGTGCTTGTGTGCAAGCATTGTGCAGTCTTTATGAGCACTGTATAAGCTCTAGGTGTGCAACACTAGGTTGAAATATATTTAATCTTGACCATCTTTCTTATTCAGTGGAAGTGACAACTTTCCTCAATTCTGTTGGCTATTAGATGTCAGCAATAAACAGCAGCCACAGTAGCTGGTGTCATTTACAGTGCTTTTCAGGTGATGTACAGTACCTTTCCTGAATGCAATTGATTTTGTAATCTAAACAGAACCCTTCTTAGTGCCAGCTGCCATTTTCTCACTGACAGCTGTAATCCAGAGAAAACTTAATATGACATTTAAAATTAGAGCCATAGTTGAACACTTGCAACACATTTTTTTTTTAAATAATGTAAACCAGCGTAGTCTTTCATCACATTCAGTTCTCCATAGCAAGTTGGAAATGCCTTGACATTCCCAGTTTGTTAGACTTCATTTTTTTTTATAAACTAGCAGTTGTGATTCTCCTCTAGATTAGCTTTCTCCTTTTCAAGCAATGTGATACAGCACTTTTGCTGTAAAGTTGTCTGTTCTGCGAGAGCCTGCTTTGTAACACTGCAAACAGAATCAAGTACATATGCACTGTGTATGGTATTTTCTGCTTAAGTAATAACTGCCTCTTGGGGAGTAGAACGGAGTTAAGAACAGCTTAGTAAAGCATCAGCCTCCTGTGAATTGTTCACATGTGGTTGTGTGAAAAGAAAAATGGCACGTACGCAATGTCCTTTCATGCTCTGCAGTATAGCTAATTCTGTACAACTTTTAGCCAGCCCTACCTGAGAGACAAACAGACTCTTACACTGAATAATGCCCCAAATCCTACCATTTTTGAACTATAGATGTTTTGCTCTTTTTTTCCTTTCTAAAAAATGAGAGCAGGGGAAAAAACCTCAGGACTCTTCTGACAGGTTTCTTTATTTTATTAACTTTTGAAGCACTGAGTGCTTTCATTAGGCTGTCGCTCCACTGACTTGTTTCAAGTGCCAGACGCTGCTGACAAAGGCTCCTCTGCCATCCCCAGTGCTTCCCTGGGCTGTATGAACTTTTTGAAGTAGAAGAGCTAGGTATTTACAACAGAGTTAGGCCCCAAGTAAAACTCCAGGTATGAGTTTTAGTACTACCCTGGGGATTGTTTAAGGTTCAGACTGGAATTTTATGGATTGATCCTCTTAATGCTTTATAGGCAGATTTTTATCATGGCCTTTAGTTTCAAAATTCTCATGTAGCTAAAGGAGGCTACATGGAGGATCAGCAAGGTTTTGTAGTCAGTGTATTTTTAGGATGACATGTTGTGTTGAGATACGTTTATTTCTCAAAATATACTGGATTTTTTTTGTCACATTGAAAATGAAAAACATTAACAATCCCTTTTTTCTAGCTCTATCTGTTCTGCTTCACTGATTCACAGCAGTCTGAGGACATTGTCCAGACTCCACTTTAATTTTCAAGGACATTACTAATTTTAGATGAAGAAAGGCTCAGGAACCATGCCATCCACAAGTACCCTGGGCAGAAGAGCAGGTCTCCACCAGCATGGAGATCGATTGCTCAGGTGGCTTAATGATCTTTCTTTGACTTTAATAGCTGGGATATTTCTAAGTGAGCTTTTTGTGTGGCTACACATAGGGCTGTGCATTTTAACTTTTCTAAAGTTTGTCCTTGTCTTATCTATTTCTTCTCATGATGCAAATGGAAAAAGCAAATTGCCCAGAGGAAAGAGATTCTGCATTCTACATTTCGCAAATAAATTTTATATCTTTTCTTGCTTGTATGCCACTCACTGATTTGGAAGGTAAGAAAATCATCAGGACAAAACTAAAATTATGTGTACACCTGGCTGGATTAAAATGACCTCTCCTCCAACTATACAAATTTAGGTTTAGTTTAGATACAAAGTTGGAGCCACTCTTTGTAGCTTGAATCTGCTGGTATCTCTGCAATATCCTGAACCAAACCGAGTACTACAGAACTGTCAAAAAAGTTTTTGTTTAGAGCTGAAGCTGCAGCTGATGTCTAATCCCGTGTCCTCTGAGTCAGTAACAGAAAACCCGCTGACTTCAAAGGGTGAAGATTTCATACATGAACTTCATGGCTCTGAGCCATTTCTAATCAAAGAAACAAAACCCACCAGAAGGCTTATACAACATTCTCCAAAGAGCTGTCTTGATGCAGTGAAGCACATAAAAATGTGCTTAACCTTAGCATAACTTTGAACTTAAAGCATGGGTTTCAGGACTTGAAAGAAAGTAGTATGAGCTATTTAGTATTGAATTAGCTGTGGGGCTTGTTCCCCTTTATGATCCTCTTTATTTGTGCCTTTTTTTAAAAAAGTAATTTGATTTTCATTACCAGAAAGCACCAGGAATAGGGTAGCCAACTGCACAGAAGGAAAGAGTCTTGTACTGTGGGGTGCTTGATTTAGGGTGCAATCAGCTTGACTAGCTGGTCTGGCAGCTCCTCCACCTTCTTCATCTCCAGACTGGGGCTTTGCTTTACCCACTCTGTAGACACTGACCTTTGCCAGTATTTTCCCTGAGCAGAAGATGGTTTACGTTTGTGCATTTCATGGATTTGCTGTTGTCTTCAGTAAAGCTTAGTGGGACATATTTGAACAAATCCAGCTTTGCTTGACAGTCCCATGAAAGCTTTTGCAGTAAGATATTGTTTAGGTCAGTGTTTTTCCTGTAAATGGAGGCTTTGAAAGCTGAAAGGAGCTGTCTGGTGCATGTAGGTTCTCTCCCTTGAAATCAAGGAACGAGCTACAGGAGGAGTCGTAAGAAAAATCCTATTATTTGCTTCAGCTCTTAAGTAAATAGATGATGAAATATGCACTTAAGTACCTTTTGCTTCCTATCAGGATGAGGATGAAGAGGCTGAAGAAGAGAGGGATGGAGTCCTGGCAGCAGTTGCTAACAGTTGCAGTGCCTCTGAGAACAAGAACAAGATCAATTCAAACAAGAACAGCAAAACCAGCATCAGTGGGAAAAGGGAGAGAAGTAAACATCATGGGTGTAGTTCACCAATGTCAGTCATGAAAAGACTTTTCTGTATCTTTGATTGCTTCCATGTTAAAAATCCTTATCACATAGACAACTATGCCAGATTTTCTTTCCCATTATCATTCATCATAATTAATGTATTTTATTGGGTTTATTATTTGTATTTGTAAATACTTTAATGTGTAAAATTGGTTTAAAGTTTAGAAAGTGGTTATGAGAAGGGAAGATGCAGAAAAATGAAGAAGTTGCATTTGGATAAAGGGATATGAAAGGATGTACCATCTTTTCAAGCATTTCTTCAAAGTTTCTTGTTAGCTCACTTTTCCACTGTTAAATGAGTGTCATTCAAAACTGACTCCTATTAGCGTGCATGTTCTCTATTAAACTGTTTATTAAAGGCCAGTAAGTCCTTTTTAATATGTTAAGGGTCAACTTTGTAAATTATTTTACACTTCTTTCTGAACTGCATTGAATACATTTAAAAAACCCCCCACCAACAAAGTGTTGTTTTCCTGCTATGCTTTAAGTATTCAGTTCCTTCTAGCCCTGTCAATAATGCATAAATTTTCCAGATTATGTAAGAAAATGTATAATTGCAGATCAAAGTGATTTTGCTTCATATCAAGAAATAGCTTTGAAGGCATGGACTACCAACACAAACCAAACAATATATTCATCTTTGTAAGGTCACAGATGTTTATCAAGACTCTGCCCTACATCTTTAGACAGAACTCCCATAGGCATCAATGGCTTTTCTGAATAAGTGCAGGACAGAATATAGAAATGGACTGGGGCCAAAATGTTTAGGTTCAGAGAGATGTTTCTCTTAGGTGATAACATACTCAGGTGTTGGCCAATCCTTAATGGAATACAGCCATTTATTTTGATGTTTATACTCTGTACTCTGCTCAGTCACAACTGTCTGGGTTAACTATTATGCAGAGGAAAAATTTGATATGCTTAATTTTCAATTTAGCAAATTTCTCTTGAGTCACTTGCCATTAAAAATTTCGCACAGAGATGAAAAAGCTTACTTCTTGAATTGAAAAGAAAACCCTGGATATGCTATAACTCGATGAAAAAAGGGGAAGTTTTACACAGATGAAATTATAACCCACATGAAAGAATGGTTACACTTGATGAAAAAACATAATGGTCTTTCTGAGTAGTTACCTCACTGACAGATATTACAAAAGTTATTGATATGGCAACCTATTTCTTATACATTAGTCTGGAAGTTTAGAAGCACTTACACCTTTTTCCTGACAATAATGTATCTGTGGATTGTGTATATATGTATAAATCTGTATATGTGCTTTTGTAGACTGTGTACCTCGACATTTATGATGATATGACACACTACACACATAGAAATGCATTAAAAAGTCCCCATAATACTGAGACTCTTTGATACACTTTTCTATCAGTGTGCTGCCTGTGAAGAACAACATTACATGAGAAGAAAGAAAGTGCAAAATACCAGTGTGCATTAGATTTGCCCCTGCTCAGAACTATATCCATAGAAGTCATTGCACGCTGGTAAACAAGTATTAGGTCAATGTAATCATCTCAGTATTTATATTTTCTAAATGGGTTGAGTACTGAAAGCTTGTTTTTCTACTGTTATCATTAATGCCTCTTGCAAGGCTTTTTGAGGCAATGAGTCTTCAAGAAGAGTCTAGTGGCTTTTGGTACCTTGTGGCTCTTCTGATGTTCATATAAAAGCAAATGCTTTCAAGAAATCAAAAAAAAACCTGCCCGTGTTAAGGACAAGACAAATAAATTACATTTTTTATTTAGCATAAACATCTGCTTAAAACCTTTATTCAGGAGCAGTTTCTATGAGGCTCTTTCTTGGAAATGAGGTGTGGAACTGGGCTCTGAGATCTCTTTCCAGTTCTTACTCCCATAAAACTCACAGAAGGCATATGGTAAAGCTCTGTATTTAGTTTTTTAAATTTGAAGTTTAGATTAATCCTGATTATTTTCAAAGAGTTATCCACACATTGCAAGTTGCCTGTTGTGTTAATACTAAATTTGGGATTTACATTTACTACAAGCATAAAGTAAACATTTAGTTTTGTGGCTTCCAATTAACTTGGAGATGATTCACCTTAATATTGTTTTAGAAAGCTGTTTGAAAGTTTGGACAGCTTTATTTACAGTGCATTAACTGGTAACAGGCTCTGTTTTCCCACTGATGTGCTAATTGTAAGCAGTGTTAGACACTGAAATCCCCCATGTTTTCCTGAAAGAATAGACTGCGCAGCCAGATTATTTATTATTCTGCTTTGCATAATTCTGCATTAATTACTAATTTGGAAAACAAAACTTGGTTTGTCATGAATTTGTGTAAGTAAAAGATGTTCCCTCCAGGGGACAGGGGAACAGATTTTCAGTGTGGTGTATGAAGAATGAACAACCGCATTTAAATTATCCAATTCAAGCATACAAAACTGTTCCCAGAAACTACCAAATTCCTTCGAGTTAGCTGGAATGGTTCTTGTAAGTAAGTGGCATTCAGGAATGATGCATTGAACACTAAAACTCAGAGGTAAATTAGAGAAGTCTGTTTCAGAGCTAAGAGCAGAGGCTGAAGTTGAGGCTGAGGCACCCAAAGCGAGCCTTGACAATGAAAATGGTATTGTCATACCTAGTGAAAAGGGGAAAGACCTTGTACTTTCTGCAATCATTTTCTGCTTGATAGATTTCTTTTTATTGCTTACTTTGATTTTAATGTTTTCTAATCAGAGACCTTCTCAGACTCATAATTCAGATAAGGGCATCCATCTGTTGATCTGAGTACCCATTTTCAGCACAGTGGCTTTATTAGCAGCGCAGCAGTAAGTTAAAGAGCTTCGTTTCCTTCCTTGCAAGTCTCTTCATGATTTGTGGTAATTAGTTTAAGAAAACCGATATGTCTTTTGGCATGGCAAAATGTCTTTAAAAAGATGATGCCCCACATTGTCACCCTGCAATGTAAAAAGAAATTACCGAAAAGATTAGAGATTAAAGAAAACCTATGTAACAGCAAAGCTGATGACAGAAGATGAAACGGAAAGATGCAAACCTTTTGCTTTCTGCTAACAGCTCTTGCCAGTGCCGTGGTGCACCAGTGCCTAAAACACCTCTACGAGTGCAGTCTGAGGAGGCTACTGAAGAACTGCGCTGCTGGTACAGTTCGCTCCATGCAGCAGTAGATGGAGCTAATTAACTACTCTTCACGCCTGAATGAGCGAATGTAAATGGCAAATGCTAGTTAAGGAATACTCTAGGGAAAAACTATTGCAAGCTGACATTTGTACTGTGGTAACTAGGTCATGTTTGTAGTGACAAATTAATTAAAATCAGACAAAACAGCATGGTCAAGTGGACTTCTGTTTTTCACACTATAGTTCAGGCTTTTCGAACCCAGACTGTTGTTTCCATCATTTCAGCTGTTAGAAACCATTAACATACTCGCCAGACTGCAAAGTAACTTCATGAGCACAATACCTTGTGTTTAAAGCCTGAATTTTCTATCCTTATGTCAGGGTTTTCTCCTGTAGGTTATAATGTTTCAAAGTATTACAGCAACTCAGCATTTCAAGGCAAGCAGAATAGTGGTTGTACCAACAATTTTCCTATAAATATTTATGAATCCTAAATAAATGTTCCCAGGTAATTCACTGTCACACTGCTAACTGCTGACACAAGGATCAAATTAATTTTAAAAGCCAGTTCATATCTTTTGGAAAACTTTCCCTTGAAATAGGGTTTGTTGAAATGGTGGGAAACTGAGCCGTGGGAGCCTTCTGGGCTGATTAAACAGGTCGCTGCAAGAACAAGCTATCTCAACCTGAGAGCTGAAGATTGGAGTGGATTCTGCCTACTGTAGAGAAGTGGGTGCTTGACAGCACTTAAAGCAGATAAGCTTGACATGATTTCAAAGTATGTAATGGATTTGCCATTACTTGTTACATAACTTTATAATTAAAACCAGAGGTCCACTTTAACAATACTGCCAAATTCAGCTTTTCATCAGTTCCCATCTGGAGACATCTTTCTTTCCCAGTACCATCTGACAGTCAAATTTTCCATCCTCAGAAAGAGAAGGATAACAGGGCTTGGGGTGGGGGGGTGGGGAGCATTTCAGTCTCTTGATGTGAGTTTACTCATATAATTTGAGTTCTAGATTTCTTTTCAAACTGGAATGGACCTATTTTCCCATTCCAGATCAAACACAGCCAAAACTTCAGAAGACAAAAAAACCCATAAGATTTTAGCACCATCACATGTGCACACAAACCATAACCCTGATTCATTTTCAAACTCTGTTCTGAATTTAAATTTAATTCACGTTTAACCACTGGATAACTTCATCTGTATTAATGTACAAACAACTGCACCACTGTTGCTTCCGTTGCTATGGTAGGTAACTTTTGAACCTCAGTAGTAAAAAGATTTGATACCAGCTTTATCTGATTTCTCAGAAAGGAGAGGAATGTAATTTTTCTCCTTTAAAGGCAGGTCAGAAATGAATCCAGAATAGCAGATCTGGCTCTAGCTGGGGCTTAGCTGATTTGGAAGCAGAATGAACTGACAAAGTTAGAAAAAAGTTAACATGATAGTATAAAATGGATTTCAAACCTGAATTGCATATTGACAATCTCAGCTTGTATACCCCCGGCCCTCATGCTGATGTTAATGATGTTGCTACAAACAACATTCATTTAATCTCAGAAACAGTTACAAACTTGTGAGATTTGCCAGTGTGGGGAAAACTAGCATTGCACCCACTGACATACTCTTGAAAGATGCAGGGGAAGGGGTTGTCTCCTCCTTTTCTATGTCCCAGTTTCGTTAGGAGCCTGTTCATTTAAGTCCATGTCCAGTTTTGGTTTATCAAGCACCTGCTTTGGATGAGTGCCGCGACAAGGTAAACAAGAAACACGTAACACTGCATTAGTCACTTCTGAGGGAACCATCTGTTCAATTATATGCTTTTAAATGCTTGTCCATTCGATTCACATGCTGAACTATGTTATGCAGGTAGCTAATTTAGTCCTAATCAAAGTGCTTTCCATTCACAGCAATATGTTGATGATATAGAATGAATACAACTGTCCTTTTTCTGTAGTATTTTCCATCCTTGTGAAATAAATAAGACCTATAGGAAAAGCTTATACCCTACACTATCAGTGTATGAGTTGGCCACGGGGATTTGGTCCAATCCTTGCTGTAGTTTTATAAGGCTTACCTTGACAACCCTTTGGTGCATTTCTGAGAACAGAACTGACAGTCTTGACCTCTCAAAATGGCACAATCTTCAGAATAATAATATAGCACATTAAGGTCTGAATAAATTTTGTGAGTAGCTAAATATAAACTGAACCTTGTTCTCAACCTCTTTCCAAGAAAGATGAATAAGAGATTGAGCATCATTTTATCATCTTTCTCCATCATTCTTTATTATCTTTGTATAAGTGTTGCATTCAAGTATCATTCCTAATACTTTTTGAAGTTTTCTTACAATGGAAGATTCAGAGATCCTTGTCATTTTTTTTTCTTTAAAAGAAAAAAACTAAAGTATGATGTGCAAATAACTAAAACCTTTGAAGTCTGAGGCTTCCTATGCCCCAGGATAATTTTAATTCTACTGAACAACCTTTTCATGCACTGCTGGTCCACATTTTGTGAAGCCCGATAATAAGAACTGATAGCTCTGGAGATTTCCATACATTTCCATACAGGATCCTGCATGGATGCCAACTGCATGGCTGACCCTGCACCATTTCAAACCACATGCTTACAGATGCAAGGGCTTATTTCAGGTGTAACAAATGACAAGATTCAAAAATGCAAATTCCTTGTTCTGTGACTGTCCTTTCCAGGATATTCCAGCTGCTGGGTAAAGCCTTGCTAAGTTTTGGAAAATTAGGTGATAAGGCAGTTGTAACAGTAAAGATTTTTCGTGGTTGATCAGTCTCATTATGCACCTCCAACCACATATACTATAAGAGCCCAAGATGACGAAGAGCTAATTCCTTTATTTCTACCTTATTATCCTAAAATCCTAATTTCTAATTTACCACTTCTGAGCCACTAAGTTCAAGGTTGTATTTGCCTTGGGTTGCCAAGTATTACCTTAAAAGTCTCTGAACAGTATCTGAAGCTTTGTTTCTATAACCCAACTGCAGGTTACCACTTCTGTAAGGAAGTGCACGTAATGGCCTGAATTGGATTTCTCTCCTGTCAGATTTCTTGAATTACCATGCAGCTCTTTACCAGAAGAACCAAAAACTGTTTCTGTATCTTTTACGTCTCGGCATATACCTGTATTCTAACTCTGGCACTTCCCTTCCCAGAAGGTTCTACATTGCTCTGTGATAATGTCAGGTGTCCAGATGCACTGCCATGCTGTACTAAAGA